TTTTAGTAACAGTAAACTTATCACACTCTATGAAAAGTATATTTGAGTAATAGTAAATTTATCTGCAATATACACATTTGATAATTGTTAAATAGGCTCTACAGTATTGATGCTAAAGCATCATCTTTAAAGTTGAAAATTCAACTGCAAAATCACGTAAGCTTTCTACTTAGTTGCCTTTTTTGGAATGTGGAAGAGACTGGAGGCAGGAGGAAGGGGGAGCCAGAGGGATAGATTGAAGAGGAGGAATAAAGAAGTTACGACAGTAGAAATTTGATTAGGCTAACAGAAGAGTATAACAGACTTTTTGTTCGCTTCCATTACTTTTTTTCACATAATCTGTTTTTCCCTAAAAAATTTAGGTTTAACAGTAAAATATCCCACTACTAACGTTTTTCTTCTTTTTTTTTTTTTTTTCTTATTTAAAACTGCCAATGATCATTCTTTCAATGTTAAATTTTTACTTGCCTTTGTTTTATTTTATTTATTAAAAACGAAAAAGAAAAAACAATGAGGACATATTTTTGAAAAATTATACTTGTGTGTATTGCCACTTATTTTCTTCCACTTTTCTTTTCAGACGGAAAAGGCGAACAGATTTACGTAAGCGAAGCAATGAACTCGGTGGTGACATAATTTTGAACACTGATCACCATCTGAATTTTGATGATGTCGATGCAAACTCAAAGAAAAATGTTATCATTTACGGCACTTCACTACAGAATAATGACTTCTTCAGCCGAGCTGTGCCTTATACTTCTCAATCGTTAAGGTATCGTTTCCGAGATTTTCCACCTCATAACAGTTTTGATATATAATATACTATTACGTAGACAGATATAAGTTAACAAACAATTTTGTGTACCTTAACTTACAGCAAACTCTTCTAATCATTAGAAAAGACATATAATAAACTTATAAAGAATAAATTGAATGATTTTGTACCAATTTTAAATCTACTGTACAGAGCGTTACACAGAGAATTTTTGTATTGCAGGAAAACGGGTAGTTTTGATAGGCCGAAATTTGATAGGCCACTTCATCAGTCTTCCACAACTTTACGACTTCATACTCGTCCTGATGGATATTATGCCGCGAGTCGCATGTATGAAGAAATCCCTCCACGGATACCAGATATTCGACAAAACTTTGATGACATTAATATTTTACAATTAAATCAGGTGTGTCAGATAATTTTCTTTTTAAAAACTACAATTAATAATTGCAATTTGTCTAGCCGATAGACTATATCAAGTGTGAATACCGCGTTTTTTATTGAATTTTTTTCGGCTATGCTTAAGCAAGTTTAAGATAACTGCGGTACCATTTTCAGTTAGATCGTGATTTGATTTTACGCGAAAGTAGTCGGAAACCCCCTCCTACCTGTCGACCACCGCCACCTCCACAAGGTTCTCCATTTAGTACGGGTTCTTCAGTAAATTCAATTGAACATGAATTGCAACATATACATAGCAGCCCTTCTCCTAAACGGTAAACAATTTAAATTTTTTCTTTTTTATCCTTTTAACTGAAGCATTTAGCGTATGGCATGGAAATGAATTCAATAAAATCTGGAAGCAAAATAAATTTTC